CTTTACAGTATATCTCATTCATGCTTCTTGTCCATTGTGGATTAGCTGCATCTCTGCTCTGTATCATTATTCCAGGACCCAGGCTGAAGGAGCAGATCTTGCCTGGGACATTGCCTGTCTCATTCATAGCAGAGCATGAAGAGAATAAGTGGCAATCACTTAACGGCTCCTAGTTCTGCTTGGGAGTGACACATGTCAATTCTCTTTACATTGCATTGTGTTACTAAATCAGTAACAAATCACCTGGATAACCTCAAGGGCAATGAGATAAATCAGTTAGCAAATCACCTGGATAACCTCAAGGGCAATGAGATAGAGATATATAACCCTTCCATAGGGAGGAGCAGCAAATTTTTTTGAACAGTAATTTACCATACCATCTCTATACTATCAATGGATAACTAATCTTTCAAACTCAGTATGTTCAAAACTGATATCTTGGTCCTCCCCCCACCCCATATTTGTTCACCACACACAGACTATTCACTCCATCCTGATTGCTCAGATCCACATCCTTGAAGTCATTCTTGATACCCTCTCACAATGCACATCCAGTCCATCAGGAAGTCCAGCCAGCTCTGCCTTCAACATATATCCAGAATCTGACATATATATATCTACATGTCTTATCTCTGCTACTACTAACCCAGTATGAGTCACCATCATCTCTTGCCTGGACAACTGCAATAGCTTGAGTGGTCTTCCTATTTCTAGCCTTGCGTCCTTGCCTCCCAACAGCACCTTCAACCTGTTCTTAACACAGCAGCCAGGGTAATCCTTTAAAAGTCAGAACACATCACTCCACTGCCCACACCTCTCCAGTGGCTGCTCATTTCTCTCAGAGTTAAAGCCAAAGTCTTTACAATGGCTCACAAAGTCCTACATGATCTGCCCTCTCATTATCTCTCTCACATCATTTCCTACCTACCTCTCCATAACTCACTCACTCCAGCCACACTTACCTCCTTTGAACATGTGTCAATCATGTTTCCACCTTAAAGCCTTTGTGCTTGCAGTTCCCTCTGTCCAGAATGCTCTCCTTCCAGATACCTACACAGGCGATTCTCTCACCTTCAAATATTGCTTAAATATTACCTTCTCAGCTATGCCTCCCCTGACTTCCATATTTAAAATTGCAACACTCTCCTATTTCCTTGGCCCTTCCACTCCACCTTATCCTGCTATATTTTCTTTTCCTATGGCACTTATCATCGTCTTACAAACTAATATACATGTTTTTTTCTTTACTGTCTGTCTATTCCCACTAGAAAGTGACCTCTACAAGGACTCATATTTTTATTTATTTTTGAATTTTTTTTGAGTTGGAGTCTCATTCTGTCGCACAGGCTGGATTATGTTGGCACGCGTACAGCCACCGCAGCCTTGACCTGCTGGACTCAGGTGATCCTTCTGCCTCAGCCTTCCAAGTAGATGGAACTACAGGTACGCACCACCATGCCCGGCTAATTTTTTAAAATTTATTGTAAAGATGAGGTCTCACCAAGTTGCCCGGGCTGGTCTCGAACCCGTGGGCTCAGGCAATCCTCTCACCTTAGCCTCCCAAAGTGCTGGGATTATAGGCGTGAGCCACTGCCCCTGCCTAGGACTTGTATTTTTATTGGTTTTGTTGCTTGATGTCTCCCAAATGCTTAAAGAAGTGTCTGACCATCAGTAGGTACTCCACAAATATTTGTTAAGCAATAGGATATGGCACAAAGTAAGTGAGATACAGAATCATACATACAGTGTGATTTTTTTTTTTTTTTTTTAGTTCGAGTCTCACTCTGTTGCCCAGACTGGAGTGCAGTGGCCACTTCCGGCCACCGCAGCCTTGACTTGCTGGGCTCCGGCGATCCTTCTGCCTCAGCCTTCCAAGTAGCTGGAACTACAGGCGCACGCTACCACGCCTGGCTGATTTTTTATTTATTGTAGAGATAAGGTGTCGCCAAGTTGCCCAGGCGGGTCTCAAACCCGCGGGCTCAGGCAGTCCTACTCACCTCAGCTTCCTAAGGTGCGGGATTACAGGCTGAGCCACCGAGCCCAGCTAGTGTGATATTTTATAAAGATCAAAAACAAGAAAAAAATTTAAAATACTGTTCAGAGATTCATACACACACAATATATTAAGACATTAGGAAATGGTAACACATTTTGAATAGTGTGTGGGGTGCTCTTGGAGTAGGAAGAGGAAAAAGAGACCTGGGATATTTCTTTTTGTATTGTTTTAGTTTGTTTTTTTGAGTTGGAGTCTCACTCTGTCGCCCAGGCTGGAGTGCAGTGGCACACTCATGACCTCCACAGCCTCAACCTGCTGGTTTCAGGCGATCCTTACACCTCAGCCTTCGAAGTAGCTGGAACTACAGGCACATGCTACCATGCCTGGCTTATTTTTTGATTTATTGTTGAGACGAAGTCTCACCAAGTTGCCCAGCTGGTCTTGAACCCCTGAGCTCAGGCAATCCTCTTGCCTTGGCCTCCCAAAGTGCTGGGATTACAGATATGAGCCACCACGCTTGGCCTTGTTTTTTTTTTTGAGTCATAGTCCTACTCTGTCGCCCAGGCTGGAGTGCAGTGGGAAGCTCACAGCTACCACAGCTTCGACCTCCTAGGCTCAGACGATCCTCCTGCCTTTCCAAGTAGCTAGAACCATGCCCAGCTAATTTTTTAATTTATTGTCAAGATGAGATCTCGCCAAGTTGCCCGGGCTGGTCTTGAACCCATGGGCTCAGGAAATCCTCTCACTTCTACCTCCCAAAGTTAAGTGCTGGGATTACAGGCATGAGCCACCACACCTGGGCTTGATTTTTTTTTTTTTTTTT